ATGTTGAGTACCTTCATGGCTTGACAACCAGATGAAACCAAGTGCAATATCTCATGGCTATTTCTGCTCCTGTCTGCAATGATTTCTCTCTGCAGCCCTAAATCCTGAAAGACTTTAGGAAGTTCCAGGCTTTACAGGGGGCAGCACTGGGTGAATATTAGAGTTACTGTAGTTTTCCCTGTTCATTGCAGGTGTGTTGGATCTGCAATGAACAGATGAAATTTAAGTGTCCCTTCCAACTAAAATGATACTATAATTCTTGTAGTTGTATGATTTCGTGATGCCCAATAGAGCCATGAGCTAATTCACATCCTTTCTAATGGTTAGAAGTGGAGTTCAACAAGCAGAAAGATCCAGAGTAGCCCTCAGCTGCCTTTGAGATGTGCTCAGAAGGGCTGGTATCAAGAAGTCATGCAAAGAAGAGATGAAATTTTTAGTGTCAGCCATCCTCTGGAGTGGATTTTGCAGGGGAAAAGGGCATTGGGAGACTTCTTCAGCCCTCCAGCTCCTCTGTCAGACTGGGGCTGCATCCACCTCAAGCCTCAGTGACACGCAAGCTGCTCGCCATCCGGAGAAGGAAGGACGAGATGATTTGTTTTTGTGTGTGTTTTTCTTTCCATGTCTGCTACTTGGAAGGAAACATGTCTGCTTTTAGAGAACAATGCTGCCCAGGGCCGTGGGAGTGAGCAAGTGATGTGTGCGAATCCTAACCCGGACCCCGTTCCCAGGCCAGCACTCGGCGATACTCAGCTGTGCAGCCCCATGCAGCATGGTAAATGTGAAATGAGGGGGTTGGGGGCAATTTGGCACTGCAACCTCTTCCCTCCTTCATGGGGACATGGGTTTCCCTGAGCTGTTGTAAGCAGGGATGTGCCAGGGCCCCTTGAAGTCCCCCAAAATCCCCACGCTGCATACAACTCATAGCCCATCTCTAATTCTTCCTCTTCTTCTTCTTCTTCTAAATGTTTTTTTCTTGATACTTCTTACAGCCATTTCTTCTCCTCTTCCCCGTTCCCTACACTGACAGACTGATGGGGAAAATACGTGGTGATGGGAAGGCCAGCAAATGTTTTCCTTCTCTTCAACCACGCACAGCAAAACCAAACCTCCTCATTTTGAGACAACAAGTGCTCTCAGAAGTGAAATTCTTACCACATCTCTGCCTTTGGAAGTTGGGCTGACTCCGAATGTTTTTGAGCAAAGTACATCTCCTACCACTCAGGTCATATTTCGTGTTGGCACTCCTCAGGTGTCAGATTTTGAAGAGAAGCCATCTGGGTCTCTGCCTTTGTTCTCCTTCTCCTCATGCATCATTGCCATGCTTTGGATGTGCAAAACCACATTTTGAAGGATTCCCAGCTTGTTCCCTAAACATCTCGTCTGGTTGAGAGTGTTTGGCATAAATTGGAAAGTGCTCAGATAGGTTGTAACTTCCATCTAAGCAATGCAGAATTTGTAGCAGGAGGTGTTTTAAAGGTCTCCTCTCCAAATACTATGAAACGTATGGTATTCAGCTGAGAGGGCTCAATAAAAACCATAAAGATTTGCAGAGTTTAAGACAAAGATAAGTACTGAATAGAGAAAATACATTCCAGCAATGTGGACTAACCAGGCATTTTACTCATTTTTTGGCATCTATCACCACCTCTCTGCCCCACCATTGGCTATTGCTGTCTTTTGAGCCCAGCTGTGACCTAGCAGTGCCCAAAGGCAGAGAAGGATGCAGGGAGAATGCAGCAAGATAAAGCCTCGCCATCCCCATCAGGATCCTTTATTGTGATCACCTTTAACATAAACCATTGCACTAGCATGCTGGTGAGCACTGGAACAAGGCTCCTTATCATCCCCTCAACCTCATCCCACACACCTCTCCTCCACCTGAGTGCCCAAGTCTAGATAGGTCAGGTTTGAATGGAGGCTTAGTTTCAAGGCTAAAGACATTCATCACAAGGCTGCTCAGTGCTGGCACTCTCATCCCCTCTGTGAAACAACTTTTGAGGACTCTCCATCCAAATCCTGCATCCCCAACCTGCATTTTCAGCCCTCCCCAAGCCTAAACCCAGTTTACCAGGAGTGGGAAGAGATGCAGGAAAACAAGGGGCACTTTAACCCCTTTTTAAAGCTCAAATTCCTTCCCAGTTTGGTATATTTAACTTGGGTGCAGTTCTGAAACAAAAGTTACAGAAATGCCAAGTTGTTGGGGCAGGGAGAGGGAAGAAAGTTGGTTAGCTTCTGAGAGCCTTGGAAGATCATTAAAATTTCATAACAGGCAGGGGAAAAAAAAAAGAAAAAAAAAAAGAAAGAAAAAAAAGACAGGCTGTTTGCTTATAAGGTCTCTAGTGTTTAAAGAGCTAGAGACAAAACTGCCGAGCAGTATATTCCAGTTTATCCTGTGGAATAGGAAGGAATGGCCCCAGACGTAATTACAAGTAAGTAGTGCACTGAGAAGGGAAAAGCTCAGGAAATGTGATGTCTAAGACCTTTTTTTCCCCTCTGGTGTTTAATCAGTTTGCCTGGGTGTACAGTAGGGATTGTTTGTTTGTGCTTTTCGTGATCTGCCTCCGTTGTAACGTATTGGATTCTTTGATGGGAAACGTGCGGGATGGGAAGAATTTTTGTGTGGCTGCTGCTGAAATTCAATGCAGTTTAAAGCAAAACCAGGGAAGAAGGGTGAAATGCGAGGCTTGTTTTGTGAGTTTACAGAGCTGGAAGGCAGGGTATGAAGTTTCAGCGGTGGTCTCACTACTTATTGACTTTTGAGTTGTATCCGCTGAGCAAGCAACACAAGAGAGGTTTTACAAATCAGGGAAGGGGTATCTCATCCATGTTGACACCTAGCAAAAAAATAAAGCAAGAGTAACAGCGGTGGTTATTAAGCAGTGGGGAGATGGATGCGACGCAGTGTATGAAAACGTTTTCAGAAATGTGTTCTATTTCTGTTCTATACCGTGACTCCTTAAAAATGCATTAATGTTGAATTGGGATTTAAAAACACTGAATAACGCCACTGGCAAAATATTTCTCTGAAGCACAGGACGCTGGATCTGAAAAACAAAATCAGTCATAAATTACAGAACACAGTAACAACCACAACCTACAAATTGAACGTTATTAAATGCTCTTCTCAGTACAAAATAACTGCCAATGCCGTGCAATGATACAAACATGAGGAAAGGTATTATGTTACTGCCGAGGCTGCAGATATCAGTTCCATTTCTAAATCTCCACAGAGTACTTTAAAACATCATTAATAGTGAAATTCTTGTTCTACGTTACTTCATATTATTTATGAATACAGAAAAGTTATTACTTTATATTTTATTATGAACCTACTTTTATTTCTCTGTAATTTGTACAGCATTAATGTGTTCAATGGCATATTGCTTGCAGTAAAAGATATATATCTTAATTTTCTATTTTACTTTAGGAAAAAAAAAACCAATCTTATTTATAATTTCCTATCATTAAAATGATTACTAGGTAACTTTCAAGAAGAATACAAGGAAAATGCATTCAATTACTCATTTAAAATACATTCTATTTTCTGGTAGTTTTAATGAGTATAGTACAATATCCTACCTCTGTGCATACCTGATAGATATATTTCATGCCTGTAAGAGCAACTTAATAACTAGGAGAAGTACTTTAAAGGTATATAGCTAAATTAAAGTTTTATTATCTACTGTGGAGTTTATTCTCCTAAAAACACATTGATTCATTGGCAATTTTTTTGTATAAATTCCTTATTCTGATTTGAAGAGTTCGTCCACTAAGGAGAAATATTTATTTCTAATTAGGATGCAATTTTCTCATCATTTTTGCATCTTCTGGCTAAAGCTCAGCCCCGTTGCATTTCAACTTTCACCTACACAATTATACAAATAAAGGACAAAGAGTAACTCTGCAGATTATACATAAGCAAAATCTCACCATTACTTGAAGGAGTTTCCCAGATAGCAGAGGGATCCAAGCCATGCTGAAATTAACGAGTCATTTCTATGTGCTGTAAAGGGATTTGGATCCTGACACTGGACTCCTTACAAATTGTCAGGACATTAATTTCATCATTTTGCAAAATCAGGCAGTTACCCATGGAGTAGTTTAGACTATAACTGAAGAGTGCGGCTTGGTCTGACAGTGATATTTTCCTCTCCATGATGTGGATTTATCACTGGCACCGTGTCTGACAAAACATGTCTGCTTATTTCTCACCCATGGGTTAACAAAGAACTTGCTTTGACACAGTGTTTGCGTAGTGAATACAATGGATTTTTAACCCACAGTCACTTCTCACATTTTAAAAAACCAGACAACGTAACTCATATAAAAGTTCATTCTGCATTTTGGTAATTATCAGAGTAGCTTTAAATCTCTTTACTTTGCTTAGAAAATGGAGCATTGTGAGTGCTTATAGGAATTCTGGAGTCAATGGAGAACCGAGTGCTTTTCGCTTCCATTTCCCTTGCCTTTATACTTTATATTCCTCGCTGTTAGGTTGTGCATGCCTTTCACAAAGCTTTCATTTGGAGCAGGGAGTAGGGTCCGAAAAGGGTTTGCTCAGACTAAACGCAGTATGGAAACAAGGACTATGTTGTCACATCAGGTTTGCTCAACACTTAAAATCTGCCTTGGGTCTCAGTGTCCTGCCATAATGCAAATGAGAGTGCTCTTGCTGGGAACATGTCATTCCTGTGAACGTTAAATGCTGTCATGCAAACCTCGTGGGAGTGAGCTACAGCAAGTCCTCCTGATTTAAGAGCTATTACTGATGCTGCTATTATTACTTTACAGGGGTACAGCGGGGATTCACAACCTCGGTTCTCAACCTTTCCCTTATTTCTTCATGGGAGGAAGTGAAGTGGCAAGGCTCCCAGCTAGACACATTTGTTGTCTCAGTGTGGAGGAATAATTGGAGCAAGGCTCCTGTTAGGGAGTTGTGTAAAAGAAACCTTCTTCAGATCTTTTCTTTTTTTTCTTTCTTTTTCTTTTTCTTTCTTTTTTTTTTTTTTTTTTTTTTGTTTTGTTTTGTTTTGTTTTGTTTTGTTTTTTTGAAGAAACGAAGATTTAAAAATGCAGTTCTGGTTTGAACAGTCCTTATCTTCAGGCAGCAAAGTTGTGGACAAGCAATGGGTGCTCTTTCATGTGCACGCAGAAGATAATGTCACTTATGAATACAGAAGGCTTCTGGGCTCTGCAACAGCTATTGGTGCAACGGAGGTGTCATTCCTGATGTGCAAGCTGACGTGGATGGAACAGGATGCCTGAAGAGGAGGTGGAGTCACCATCCCTGGAGGTGTTCAAGATCCATGGAGATGTGACACTCAGGAACGTGGTTTAATGTGTGATATTGATGGTAGGTGGACAGTTGGATTAGATTAACTCAGAGATCTTTTCCAACCTTAATGATTCCATGATTCTGTGATTCCATGCACTCCTCTCCCTGAGCACCTGACCTTTGCTCATAACTTCTCAACCTAGGCAGGCCACGCCAAAGAGTCACTGAATCTTAGAAGCAGATGGGCTCATATGAAGGGAAAAGTGAAACAGCTGATTCTGCTTTATTTGTTTTCTTTTCTACAGGCTTATGCAAGCACATTTCACATGCTTCAGGCAGCAAAAAGCTCAGAAAAGTCTGAAGTTGTTGGCGTGAAGTGTTGTGGACCATTCCCAAAGCCACACTCAGCATCATGGACTTTCAGCTCTGCACCCATCCCACTGCAGAAATCTCTGCTGGCTCAGAGAAGCAGTTTGCAATCCCTGTGCTCCAACATCACTAAATAGAGACCTTTTTACCGTTAGGTTTTCATATTCTGAAGAAGATGATCAGCGGCCATACACACCATTTATTTCTGTAGCTCTGCAGAACCAACACGAGCCCAAGTCTTCAGTATGGCTTCGAAATGCATACCTCAGTTTGGAGCCATAGATGTGACCTTATTCTTCCCTTTATCCCTTACACTTGACCTTGATCCAGTCAGTCATATGTTGTTGTTTCTGAAGAGTGGCAATGCAGAAAATGCCAGATCTCTGATTTATTTGTGGTTAAGAAAACGATTCCTGCGCAAGCTGAAAGCTTCCCTCCTTTTAATTGTAGCACCTGCCTAAACCCTTAACCTCTCCAAAATCGCCCTCAGTGCTGGAGTTGTTACTGCAGCCCCAGTGCTCCTGGCAACTCCTTATCCCTTGGCAGAGAAGGAGAAGACAGTGCTGTCTTAGCACAGCCACTGCCTGCAGCAGAGCCAGGACAGGGGATGGAGTAGGGGCTGTTAAGAGAGGCTGTAACAGATTGGAGAGCAAATGTAAAATGAAATCCTCCAAATTCAGTGGAGAGCAGCTTGCCCTTTCATACTCTCATTGAAGCCTTTTCTCCTTGACAATTGGCTGAAAGGACCTCTGTTGTTTTTTACTTAACACATCTGTGGATTTATTGCAAGCTGATGCTTTCTGTTTTACTTCTACATGACACAAGCAGAAGATGGGGAGAAGAATTCAACCCAGATCTCTGACTCAACACTGCATTCTAAGTGTGGTGAAGCCCCACATGGTGCTGATGTGAGAGAGTCCTGCTTGTCCTGGCCTGATCTTGAATGATCCTGATGTGCTCTGACTCTTTCCTGTAACAAATACTTAGGGAGAAAGGAAAGAATTTGAATAAATAAAATGAAAAAATTGAGATCTACAATACAGGACACCATAGTATTAGTGTGGGAAAGATTTAATGCAAAACTGACCATGTTCCTCACGTATGTGAGTCCACTTGTCATGAGGTTACTCCTTGATATTTTACCCAGTGGAGAACGGAGAATGGAGAATGGAGAATGGGAGAATGGGAGAATAGAGAATGGGAAAGAACAAATCTTTCCCAGGGAGGAGTAAAACTCAAACCTCAGCTTCTCAGACAGAAAGAAGGAGCAAGGAGGGATGATGCCATGCGGAGAGATATTCTCCATCATTTATTGCGCTCTGTTTCTTTCTTGGCCAGGGCAGCGTAGATGGGAACAACCAAAGCACCCTGTCCCTCCTGTTCTCCCTCTGATCTGCTGCTGAGCTGTGTTGTGCTATCCACCACAGGGCGTCCATATCCTAACGCTCCCCTTGCCCTTTACCTTGTTTAGCCTTTTTTGCCATCATGAAATAATGTTCACAATGGCAAGAACACAAAATAGCTCATAATGTGCCTCAAACTGTGAGAAAAGCGCATTCGATCCTCCCCAAACACAGACCTGCTCACTTCAAAGGCGGCAATATTTAGATAGTAATCAACATCGCGTTTTCTTCCCTTTCCTGGCCCAATGTGTCTATTTGCTCAGGCACTCTTTCCATCCATCCAGAAAACTCAATGTGTCCAAAGCACACACGGGGCTGAGCAATGATCCCAGGCAATGCCTGAACAGGGCAGCCCCAGGTATGATCCCAATGACCTGGCTACTACAGTGCTGCCACCCTATGGCATGTGGTTTGCTCCTGGGTTGTTTTATTCATGGCTAAAACACTGAGTGAAGAAACATCCTCTCCACCTTAGAAATAGTGAAACAGGAGCAAATAACAGTCTCGGAATGTGATCTATAGCTCCCTGGAGGAAGAAGTTGTCCCTCATGCCATCCCCATGTGTGGTACATCTTCAAATGATGGACTGGGGAGAACCTAATATCTTCAGTTATCAGATACAGTGATAAATGATTAATAAAGAATCAAACTGAAAACAAGCGTTGCTTTTGTTTTTTTCTTAGATTGCCATCTCCAGCTTCTTGTGCCATTATTTATGAGACAGCGTTTTTAAATGATTATGAAAGAGTGCATTTGTTATGCTGTAAATTTAAGTTTTATAGTCAATGGATATTTTGTGGCCTGGGAAAAAGTAAACATAAACTGAAAGAGTCATTTATTCCTATTCTTGTTTTGGCCCAATGAGAATTAACATCAGATGTGTGAATGGTAAAATTCCTTGAAGGAAATGCATCTCATTGTTAGTGATTGTTAGCTGAAAACACCCGAACCTCAGATGATGCAACAGCCAGACGTCTGCAGACTTTAAGAACAATTGTGATTTATTTCCAGGAATAAGGGGAAATTTCTTCCTATTCCTCTTCCCACATCACTCATCCTAGCAGAGAAGGATACTTTCCAAGGCATTTCAACAGTCACTAATGCTGTAGGTCTGAATGGCTCAGTCCACTCGACAGATGGATTGGGATCTCACATCAGCCCTAGGAGAAACCGAAAAGAAGTCATAATATGAGAATGGAGACAGACTTGCATGAACACTGTGCTGATAGTACTGAATTATTCAGTGGCTAAATGTGAAGGCTGACTGTGATGAGATGCCAAAAATTCATCCAGAAGTGCACGGCTGGATGATAAAACATCAAATAAAATTCAGGATAGATAAATGTCAAGTGATATACACAGGAGAGGAGAGTCCTGGCATTCTGATGGTACCTGTGCTCTAAACAAGCTATGATCACTGTGGAGAATTAGAGCTACAATACAGACTCCTATAAAACTGATTATCCCATAAAATAGATTGTAGCTGTAACTCTCAAAAAGAAAGTTACTGTTAGGAATTCTTTGGAATATAGCATAAGCATTGTGTCATTTTGTAAATCCTCGGTGCATCTGCACCTGAAATACCTGAAATCAACCAGCTTGGAAAGGAACTGGTGAAACTGGAAGAGGAGGACAGTAAGATAGACAGGGACTTAGAAAGCACCCAGTCTGAGAACGATTAAATGTACCAGGTTTATTGAGCCAGAAAAGAGATGGCTGAGAGGATATGATGGAGGGTGCTGGAATTATGAGTGACAAGGACAGAAGAGCAAGGATCTGTCTGCTGTTTATTCTTCTAATACAAAAGCTCAGAAGCATGAAGTGAAACTTGTTGCTGGCAGTTTAAACTGTAAAGGAGCAATCCTTCCTGACACCATGCTTAGTCATCCTGTGGAACTCCTTGCCACAGGATACTTGGAGTGCTAAAAATTTACTGGATATATTCAGGAAAGAAAAACCCATCCGAGGTTTTTTAAAATCCATCTGTGTTTTGTATTAAATTGAAAGACGCCACGTCTGGTTCAGAAAGCGCCTGAGCCAGAAACCACTGTAGGTTGGGCAAGCGTCTTGAGGAAGTATCACTGCATAACTGACCTACATTTGTACTCTTTCCTGGGCTCTTGCTTCTGCTGCAGATAGGAGGTTATTTGGCATGGACTTCCATACTGACCTGCTAAAGTTGTTCATATCTTCTTCTTGTGAGCCTAGGCATCAAAGTGATAAGTAATTCCAGACAAATGCACTCCTTATGTTCTCTCTTAAATCTAGCTGTAATGTTAACTATTAAGTCGGGTGTTGACAGGCCAATGAGTAGTGGCCTCAGGTCTTGGGCTTCTCTTTTTCTAGTTCCTAGTCTCCTTTGCACTGGTCTAATACAACCCAGAGCAATCAAAAAGAGCTGTAAGGACATTTCCACATGAGGGGACATTGGCTTCCTCTCAACACCACGTACGTGTGGCAGATCAACCAAGACACAAGGTGATTTAGCTAATGTAGAGCAGTGCATGAACAAGGTTGATGTGGTGTAAAGTCTGGCTCTGGTTTTGTATCTGAATATCAGAGGAGCAATGGCTTGATCTGTCCAGTCAAGGAGATGTGCCCAGATTTACTCCTGTTACTGAACAGCTCTGATGTGCTGATATAGCTTTTGGAGTTCAGAGTATTTTAGCAGGGAGGAAAACCAGTTTAGAAAACATTGCTTTTGGCTATAGACTAGCAGAAGATCTCTATAAAAGGTATTGACTCTCTTACTCCAGCTACTCCAACTTTAATTGCTTGGCCAGGCAGTTTAAAATAGCTACATTAAGTTCTGGACAAATATGTCTGTATTTTAGTGAAGCATTTGATAGTACCATAAAATCTTATTTGAAAGATTGAGTCAAACTGGCCTGGATATAAGTGCTGTGGTCTATGCAATGGCTAAAAAGCCATAAATGAAGACAAATTTTGACTTGTTGGGTTTGAGGAGGTGATGGAGGTTTTTGTGGGAGAGGAACAGGAGTTACGCCTCACTTTGTTTAATGTCTTCATTCATTAACTGAAAGAAGAAGCAAACAAAATGATCGTTGCATTCACAGATGGGTGGGAAACACTTGTAAAGAACACTGAAAGAGTTACTGGCATGGCTTTGATTACTCACTCCTAATAATCTCCAGCAGAAAAGTTGACACACATGTAAAGGTAACTATATGTGACTAACAACGGGGCAGAACATTTAATCTCTGCTGGCTGTATCTATCACAGCAGAAAACCTGTCACATAAGAGGACTTCCTAAGCAAGGTGGAGCATAGTGATCATAGACATAACAGTTTTCCCTAAGTGTGGTAATGATGATGCTCTAATTTCTTGAATGTCACTCCATTCTGGGAGCCTCAGTAAGTTAACAAAAGCACAGGGAGCGATCATAGGGGAAAAGAGAGAGTAAAAGATCTAACTATGAATAAATTAGACAAATTATGAATAAATTAGACAAATCAGGCAGGGTTTGATAACTGTCTGTATGTGTATGAGGGCTACAAGGGAAAAAAATTTCTTGAGCAGCATAAAAAGAAATAGAGAAGAAATCAGATGAAATCAAACAAAGGAAAATAATGAATGAATAATAGGAATTGTTCTTAATGGTAAACTTGATCAGAGTTTTCAGAAGTATTTATATAAATTGGTGAGAACAAAACATTCAGATGTGAGAAAGCTGCTTGAATCTCAGTTATTGCAGATATTGGCTTCTAGTATTTCCTGTAGCAGAGCAAGAAACAAGAACAATCAACTGCAAACTCAATGGAAAGGATTTGGCTGCCTTTGTTTTCTGGTGCAGGAGACCAACGATTCTAGGAAGTTCTGCCAAAGAGCTCGTTATTAAAAATGTAGTGAGTGCATCCAAAAGGCTCTCGCTCACAAATGAACATGGTTTTCTGAGACCTTATGGCTGCATCCTCCTTCCTTTCAGGATCTGAAAATATTTCTGAGCAAGGCCTGCCAGAATGTGCTGCCGGATTTTCTGTAACTGGGAGAACAGGAGGGATGTGATAAAAGGGAAAAGCAATGGGGTTTATAGACCTAGCACAAAAATGAGGTGATGTAGGGCAAGCTGGTCCATGTCCAGATTTCGTAAAGAGGTTTTTGACCACAATTTCCAATGAGGTGCCCAAATGTGGGCACCAATTCCCATGTTGACTTTGTGGTATACATAAAAACCAGGTGGAGTCTATACGATCAGGGTTATGCCTACTTGTGACCAGGCCCCTTACTGGAAGCTGTAAGGAGACAATGTAACATGGATTTCATATCTGCCACTGGGACCCAGATTTCTGCCAAAAAATGACTTCCAAGAGTCAAGCAACAAGTAGCTCTATGTGGCAGCATGGACTACAGCTGTGATCCTCAGAGGACATAAGGCCATCTGATGGGGACCATCGAATTTTGGTGTCCTTGGGGATTTCTCTTCTCAAAGGAGCCACACAGCAGTTCAAAGATCTTCAAAAATCTTGCTGAGCAATGAGCTGATGTTGGCCATGAACAACTGAATGAAGATTCTTCATGCTGAGATGACAAATAAATTAAATGTGCTGAACTTGCAGGTGAGCAGATGAGATCTGGCACTTCCTCAGGCACCAGAAACCTTACTTCCTGATGTCAGCAAGATCTAGAATTTACTTTGAGAATGTTGAATTTTTAGGTCACTGATCACTTCTGAAATTCAGATCTATTAATTAAAATGACCTGATTTTCCAAACAACCTGAAGAGTGACCACTTCCGTTGATGCTTGAATCAGGGAAGAAGGAAACACGAAACTCCTGTGAATCACTGCACCATTTGGAATCTCTGATTTGTGTCACCTATTACCATCCTATGCAGGTTATGCCCTTAAGACAGGTCTTTATCAAATCCCTGCACTGCTGCAAGCCAATCAAATAAATACTGGAAGCTGGCATCATTTCAGTGATATGAATTCCATCAAGACTCAGGATTTTCGTATTTCAAAGACTGTTGTGATTTTTAAAGTCACAAACAGGAACATGTTTTTGCACAGACCTGTGTTACATTATGCACTTAGAGTCAAACTGCAAAAATAAGTTATAAACACTTTTGATGAAAGGATTGGACACTTCGTTTACACCTTGAAAATGGAGTTTTGTTTTAATGCCCAATTTTGCTTTGGTATTTAACCTTTCCCCTCTGCTTTACATATTGTATCGTTTCAGTCCAGCTCGCTATTTATTTATCTTTCTGCAGAGAAAAAGGGAAAAAAGGAAATCATTTCTTTTTTTAAAAAAAAGGATAAGTAAATACTTGTTCAAAAAAGTGTTCAGAGCTCTTAGCTAAATGTATGCTGCAAATCAGGTTCTGTTTTCCTTGGGTGTATTTTATTTGGGGTCTTAGGTGATTTCTATTCGAGATGAATGCGCATTAGCTAAAAGCAAAATGAAAAACCTTTTACCTGTCAAGGCATTAATTAAAGTTTAATTAGCTCCTGTTTGCTTTGGAGATGTGAATGTGCTTTGGAAGTCTTGCACATTTTAAGGCCTGCATTGGCAACTTCTGCAGTAGTTTTTTGGCTTTAGAAATATCCAGCATGGAACTAGAGTTTGCTGCATTGTGTAGAGGGCTTTCTGTCTAGTGCCTAACCAAGGTTGCAATGGCAACACAGAAGAAACACT